ATGACCTGTGATGAGCACAGCACTTCTCTCTCTCTCTCTCACACACACACACACACACACACACACGAGGTTTAACCTCAAGCTTCTGTGCATTTGCTCTCCTGAAGCGTCCAGATGTCCATCAGAAGCTGCTCCAGATGCATGCAGCAGATCTAGCGGTGTGATGTAAACTAACCAACACTAGTGCTGCGTGTCACATGATCAGTGATGTCATGAGTGCTCGTGTCAGACAATCATCCAGCATCTTCACTGGAGCCAGACAGGAAGTGGAGCGTGAGGCGGGGGTCAGGAGCCAGAGGTGAGACGCGCTGCTCCTACTTCCTGTGCGCTGATGTCATCAGGGCCGCTAGAGCGGGTGTGGCGCTCACAGGCATCTCCGTGGCGACCCCTGGGGGCCCCTATTGTGTGTGTGACTTTGTTCAGGGTTAATGTGTGTCACTGCTCTCATTACACACGCTCTGATATATGAGCTTCGCGAGTATCTACATGTGTCATCAACAGATGTGAGATGTTCCACATAAACAACAGAAACAAATGAAGACAATGCACAGAATAATTCACCCAAACATGAAAATGTGCTCACCCTCAGATCATCCCATATGTAGATGAGTTTGTTTCTTCATCAGGTTTGTAGAAATGTAGCACTGCATCAGTGTCTCAGCAATGGATGCTCTGCAGTGAATGGGTGCCGTCAGAATGAGAGTCCAAACAGCTGATAAAAACATCACAATAATCCACAAGTGATCCACAGCACTCCAGTCCATCAGTTAACATCTGGAGAAGACAAAAGCTGAAAGCTAATCAAAGCCGTTATTGTCATATGCACATTTTCCTGTACAATGAAATTCTTACTTTGCTTTCCACTTTGAATGCTTCAATAGAAAAAGAATAAAGTATAAGATGGAACATATAATGGCAAGTAAGAACAAACTCGTCTTCATGTTGGGTGGCCTTAGGGTGAGCGTCGTTCCATGTTCGGGTGAACTCTTCCTGGATTAGTCTGTCAGTCCTGTACTGTTTGTGCTGCTGATCTTCAGTGATCTGCAGGAGCTGCAGGACACCGCAGGGGGTCTTCTGTGATGGAGCTCAGTGAAACAGAAGCGCTAGAGGGAATCATGGGGTGTGAATGCAGCAGTTATGCTTTAACGCCTCTCAGGTGTGTGTCCTCGTCTCATCACTGATGCATCAACACCCATCAAGCTCCTTCAAGAAGATCAGGTTCACGTTCACTCAGCATGATTCAGATCGGCTCCTGCTCCTACGTTCTTAAAAACAAAGGCTCTTCATTGGCTTTGATGGTTTCATGAAGAACCTTTAACATCCGTGGAATCTTTCCATCGCACTGAAGGTTCTTTAGATGATTCAAATGGAAAAAAACAAGCATAGGATTTAGTTGTAACATAAGTCTGGTATCAAACTGGTGTTCCTCATCATCATCATCATCATCATCGGTGAGGTGTGCACAGCAGATCATCACACACTCACACACACACTCTCTCTCTCTCTCTCTCTCTCTCTCTCTCTCTCTCTCTCTCTCTCTCTCTCTCTCTCTCTCTCTCTCTCTCTCTCTCTCTCTCTCTCTCTCTCTCTCTCTCTCTCTCTCTCTCTCTCTCTCTCTCTCTCTCTCTCTCTCTCTCTCTCTCTCTCTCTCTCTCTCTCTCTCTCTCTCTCTCTCTCTCTCTCTCTCTCTCTCTCTCTCTCTCTCTCTCTCTCTCTCTCTCTCTCTCTCTCTCTCTCTCTCTCTCTCTCTCTCTCTCTCTCTCTCTCTCTCTCTCTCTCTCTCTCTCTCTCTCTCTCTCTCTCTCTCTCTCTCTCTCTCTCTCTCTCTCTCTCTCTCTCTCTCTCTCTCTCTCTCTCTCTCTCTCTCTCTCTCTCTCTCTCTCTCTCTCTCTCTCTCTCTCTCTCTCTCTCTCTCTCTCTCTCTCTCTCTCTCTCTCTCTCTCTCTCTCTCTCTCTCTCTCTCTCTCTCTCTCTCTCTCTCTCTCTCTCTCTCTCTCTCTCTCTCTCTCTCTCTCTCTCTCTCTCTCTCTCTCTCTCTCTCTCTCTCTCTCTCTCTCTCTCTCTCTCTCTCTCTCTCTCTCTCTCTCTCTCTCTCTCTCTCTCTCTCACACACATACACACACACACACACACACTGTATGTGAACAGGGAGCGACTGCAGTAACACTTCACACAATACACTAGTGAAACACACACACACACACACACAGACATTTACACACAAACACATGAAAGAACAGCGGCTCATTCACAGCTCTCTCTATAGGTCTCTCTCTCTCTCCCTCTCTGTCTATGGTGGAGTTTCTAGCAGCTCTAAAGCACATGATATCAATTCATTTTTCATCTGCAAACCAATTGCTGCCTTGAAGAACATTTTTTTTGTTCTGGATATCTGTCTATTTACACTATATATATATAGAGAGAGAGAGAGATACTCACACTCTCACAGGCCAAAACTGTAATACTGTTACTCGTACATAATGTTACATTTCTCTGTCAAAGCCAAATGTGCAAATATTGCTGCAAAATATGTAGCATTGTGCCATGACCTGAGGAACAAACACAATCCAGAAACACACAGCCACAGACACACTCTCACAGACCAGAACTGTAATACTGTTACTCATGTACATAATGTTACATTTCTCTGTCCAGCAGTTGCTACTGGAAAATCGTTATTATTATTATTATTATTATTTATTTTTATTTAATTAATTTATTATTTATTTTTCCCCTATATGTATCTTTGGGCATATATGACATTTCCATATTAGTTATAATATATAAATAAATGTTCAGATGTTAAACCATTCTCTTTGTTGTCTTAATGCTTTGGCAATACAAAATGTATTTTTGTCATGCCAATAAAGCTATTTGAATTGAATTGAATTGAATTGAATTGAAGTTTCTGGTCTAGTATCTGTCAGCAAGCATCATGAATTCACATGCACAATTTAATGTATTGCATTTTTAAAAATGTAAATGTTTTATTTCATTCAAATCTCTTGAACCTCGTGTAACAGTAGCTGGTATTTTGGCATAAACTATGGTTACCGTGGTAATTTTTTGGTGATGGTGTGCTTATATTTCTCACAGCATCCAGTCAGTTTCTG